GAGGGCTCAGGAAAAAGTGCCAGGCAACAAAGAAGAGACCAGGCCATGGCCTTCTGGCACAGCAGGGCTGCTGGCAGCCCTGGAGACCTGATGCCCAGGCACCCGCTGCGTCACTGAGCTGCCAGCTTCAAACCCTGAGCTGTGTGTCAGGGTTGCATCATCTGGCACCAAGCCGGGCTCAGGGGCAACAGTCTTGGGCACCAAATGTTCTGCTGACACTTGCCCCATAGGCGTAGGCTCCGCCTGATGGGGATCTATGGGCCATCTGACCAGGATGGCAGGCCTCCACAAGGAAGGTCCATGAGTGCCAGATGTGGCTAAGGGCTGTCTGTGTGGCTCTGCGCAGGGGCTATCCCCTTCTGGGCTCCGAGGATGCACCGGGAGAAAGGGCACCACTGTCCATACCCGGGGGCTGCAGGGTGGGCTCTGTGGGAAGGCACGCCTCTGGGCTACATAGGTCTGGCACCCTGTGGCTGCTCAGAGAGGTAGGGAGCAGATTTAAGGGCACCTTGAGACACAGGTGCACTCACCCTGAGTCTCCTGGCACAGCATCTTCTGTGAGGTTGGTTGTAGGCTGCCTCTTTCTCTCTATCCTGCACCCTCCCCCAATAGGGGGTGAGCCTAGACTTCACCTCACCATCCTCCCCTGACACCCATTCGGCTCTGGGCTGCCAAGGGGCCGGCAGGCTGGAGGGAGCAGGTGTGCAGAAAGGGGCTGCATGTCAGGAATCCCTCCGCAGAGGGACAGCTCTGACTAGATTGACGAGGTGGTGAACAGCATGCCAGGCAGTGGGAACAGCATGTGCAAGGCCACAGAAGCAGGAAACAAGAGGGGGTGTTTCCTCTGAATTGGGGCTGCAGGCCTGAGGGCAGCAGTGCGAGCCACATCCTCTGTTAGCACCAACAAGCTTGACCTGCTTCCCGGTCTAACCATTAGAGCTTCAGCTGCGGGCCCTGCTCTGCTTCCTTTGGCTTCCTTTCCTCGTGCTCCTCACAGCTGGGAGGAGCCCTGCAATATCCCTGCGAGAGACAGAAAAGACTGAATTGGGCCTTGGCTGCAGAGGGTGTGGCTGTGGGAGGCATGTGGGGGCTGGCCTTGGAGAGAGCTGGGATCCCAGGCCAGGGTAACAGACTGCTTGAGGCAGGAAGGGGCACCGTGACCAGCTGTCCCCAGGCCTTTCGGCCTCACTTGCCAACTCCAAACTCAACATTCTGGGGTTTCCTCACAGGCTCTTGCACTGAGTCGCTCAGGAATAAGATGGAGCCAAGTGACCAAGAAGGCCTGGGCCCTTGGGGTAGGCTGGGAGCCCCTTCCAGAGAGTCCTGTCTCCCTGTGGCTGGGGTAGGGGACAGCCTCCTCTGGTGGGAGCTGGGCCCTGAACAGGCCTCCCAGAGTTCCCAGGACATGAGCCCTGGAGCTGCCATCATGTGTCTCCAAGGCCACTAACCCCTTCTGTGACACTTGCCCCTGTTTCTGACAGACAGTGCTCAGTGTGACCGGGAGACAGTGATAGCCCCTGCCGACGTATGCAGGGGTCCCGTTGAACTTTGCAGAGGCCAAATTGTGTTGGGTGGGGATGGGAGGATGAGGAGGTACTTCTAGCCAGTTCCTGGGACCCCCAGGACTCCTTGGGTTTGGCCCAAGGGCCCCGCCTAGGCCTGGTCAGGAGCTGAGTGGATATAAGGTAGGGTGGAGCCTAGGCTTGTTGGAGCCTGTTCCCTGCACTACTCACCCTCTCTGGGGTCTCAGATGGAAAGGGGTGGGCTGGTGAGGCATAAAACAGATCCTGCTTAACCCTTAGATGCAGTGTTCCCACACATCTGTCAGGCTGCTGGGCCTGTGGGACCTCCCCAAGTCCCGGGTCACTAGGCAGAATTCCCCAACGTTGGGGAGGCACCAGGGCTACTGGTTGCCCTGTCTCTGCCTGTCCCTCAGATGGGACCAGGGCCATGCTGCCAGAATGGTACTGGGCAGGGCCCGGCCTCTGAGGGGCCTGACGTAGCTGGGTGACAGCCAGGGTGGGTTGTACACCTCCAACACCACCTCCCCACCTTTGACCCTCTGCCCAGCAGGGTTTGATCAGGAATGAGGTGCATCTCTCACTCCCTGACTTCCGGCTGGGGAACCTGGTCACAACTCTGTGGCCTGTCTGCTTCCTGGCACAGAAACTTGTCTCAGTGTATGCGAGGCTGAGTGGGGGGCCCTGCGGGAGGAGCCTCATGGTAGGCTGAGGGCGCCTCCCGGCTTCATCACTCCCTCTTCCCTCTCACGCCCCCAATAAGAGAGGTGTCTCACTGCTCGCAAGGCTGTGGGTATCTGTTCATTAGAGGTTTATCAAGCACTTACTACACACTAGGCCTGACAGCACGACCTGGGGTCTATGGAATGGAAATATCCCCCACGGCCCCTGCTGACCCAAGGCCATACCATTCCCAAATCTGTGTTGTGGCAGAAGCCCGCAGTGAGAGATGCAATGTGGACGAGGATGTGCAGGGTGTGTACGAACGTGTTTATACCAACTCTACAGTTTACAATGTACTGTACATGTTGTCAATTCCATGACTCAGATTTGTCCTATTGACTGACATCCTGGCTGTCACCAGAGAGCTATCCCCTGATACCAGCAGGATCCAGAAAGAGGGTGCATGGGGCTGCAGAAACCAACTCAACTCAAGAGGCAGGGGAGGGTCCCTCTGTAGAACAGCAGGGTCACTGGTGGGCTCTGGCCCCTCTCCCATCACTGCAATGCCTGCTGGAGATGCAGAGGCTCCCAGGCCACCTGGTAGCAGACTGGGTGTCAGCTTCCATGGCACGAGTCACCCAGTGAGAGCGGTCCTTGCTGAGGATGGACAGACTGATCAGCAATGTGACCACACTGTCCTGAAGGCAAGGCCCCAGAGGCAAGTGCCACCCACACATCTGAAGGTCCTGGGCTCTGCCAGGGCTGGGGTCCCACAAAAGGTGAAGAACAGTTTCCTGAGCTGCACAGTCACTGTGGGGGGTGCCAGGCCACGGGGTCACAGTTTACAAAGCAGTGAGGGCCCAGGCCTCCCTGCCCGCGGGCCGGCTGAGGCAGGGCTACGATCGAAGGCTTCTGCGGGCTTTCTCTCCCTCTTCCTCCACCTCCTCCTCTGGCCCCTCACGTCTTCCCCAAAATAGAGGACCTGCAGGTTTAAACAGACCCAGCCTGTGGTCACATTTCCTTCTAGAGTGTCACTTCCTCAACAGGTGCCTTCCACCTGGCGGGGTGTCATGCAATGCTCTCAGCTCAGGGTTCAGAGCCCACCACTGAAGATCATTATAACCTCCACCCATTGTGTTAACAGGCTGAACAAGCAGGAGGTGGCGTGTGTTGCATCGGAATGCCAACTGGGGGTTCCAAGCCCTGGGACACACATCTTGATTGACTGCAGATGCAGCTACCAGTCATGGGGGGTTGTGGTCTGAACCTCCTCTCCGACCCAGCCCTTGAGTTCTGCCCCAACCCCAAGACCCTGGCCTGACCTGCCTTCTCTGGGGCTCTCAGGAGGTTGATACTGGGGTACTGATGAAGTCCCTCGGCCCCGTCCTGGCCCAAACACCCCACCCCTCCTCTACCGCATCCCTACCCCATCTTGGCATGCACACTAACCTTAGAGTTTTCCACCTCTCTTTTTCTGAGTGGTTCTCTGGGCTCTCACTTTCATATGAAGCCAAATAAAGACCTAGTCAGAAAATGAAGTGAAATTACACAATTATAGTTGATAATAATCCGTTCTATGCCCAGAGTCTGAACTGCTTTCTGTTTTAAAATTAAACTTGTGGTTGAAAGATAATTGCAGATTCACATACAGTTGTAAGAAACATAGAGAGATCTGTGTACCCTTTACCCAGTCTCTCCAAAAGGCAACCATTTGCAAAACTATAAGACAGGGTTGCCACTGGGATGTTGACACTAATACAGTCAAGATGTGAACATCCATTACCACAAAGACCTCCTCATGTGGCCTTTTATAGCCACCCCCACTTCCCGCCCATCTCCACCCTTTTCTTAACCCCTGGCAATCACCAATCTGTTCTCTATGTCTATATTTTGTCATTTCAAGAATGTGATATAAATGGAGTCGAACAGTATGTAACCTTTTGGGACTGGCTCTGCTCACCAGTGGAACTCTCTGCAGATTTCTCCATGATGTAGGGTGTCAATACTCCACTGCTTCTTGTCGCTACAGTGTCTCATGGTGTGGATGTACCACAGTGTTTTTAACCACTCACCCACTGAAGGGTGTCTGGGTTGTTCCTAAGGTTCAGCTTCGACAAACTAAGCTGCTATAAGCATCAGTGCATGGGTTTTTGTGTGAACATGAGTATTCCTTTCTCTGGCATAAATAAATGCCCAAGAGTATAGTTGCTGAATCATGTAGTAGTGGCATGTTTTAGTTTTATAAGAAACTCTTTGTCTGGTTTTACATTTTGACTTATCTACAGTAAATTCCTGAAAGATATTTTCACCAGGTATAGAATTCTGGGTTGACAATTATTTTCTTTCAGCACTTGAAAAATGTGCCACTGCCTCTGGGCCACCACGGTTTCTGATGAGGAATCCGATGTCATTTGAATTGTTTTTCCCTATAGGTGCCATTTCTCTCTCACTGCTTTTAAGATTTATTTCTTTTTCCTTAGTTTCCAAAAGTTTGACTATGGTGTGTCTTCATATGGGTTTCTTTGAGTTTTATCTTCTTTAGGATTTATTTGGCTTCTTGAATCTGTAGATTTATGTCTTTTCCAAATCTGGGAACTTTCCAGTCATTATTTCTTCAAGTACTTTCAACCCTACCTGCCTGTCCCTTCCTTCCTGGATTCTGATAACACAAGTGTTAGATCTTTTTTTTTTTTTTTTTAATAGTCCCATAGGTCCCTGAGGCTCTATTGTTCAGAGTGTATAATTTCTATTGTTCTATCCCCCATCTCACTGATTCTTTCCTTTGTCCTCTCTATTATTCAGTTGAGCCCATCCACTCAGTTTTTTATTTCATTTATTGTATTTTTCAGTTCTAAAATTTCCATTTGGCTCTTCATTATATCTTCTGTTTCTTTGCTGAGATTTTTTATGTTTTCATTTATTTCAGGGAGCCCCAAGGCTGAATGGATTGCCGGGTGGGCCCTGCCAGGGAAGACCTGGAACTGAGGATAGGGTGGGACTTCTCTCGGAGGCTGTAACTCACTTAGGGCTCAATACATCTTAGGTCTCTTCTTTTGCTTTTTTCCACTTTTTGGGGGTAGGAGAGGGACAAAAAGAAGAGAGGGTCAAATGGAAGGTGCTCCTCCCTAAGGGTGTTTCTGAAGGGCCAGGATTTTATCTGTATGTTCGTGGCCAAATCACTACCTGGAACATAGCAAGCTCTCTAGAAATAATGCTGACTAAATGAAATGTCCCTCTCTCACGCTCCGTCCTGCCCTTAGACTCCTTTGCCCCTCTCCTAATGTGCCTATGACACATTTTATTGCTCAATTTCTACTGGCTAATGACAACAATCACCATAATAACCAATATGGTAGGCTGAATAATGGCTCCCAGAGGCATCCAGATCTAAACCCCCAGAACCAGCAGACATGTTACCTTCTGTGGCAAAAAGGGACTGTTCATGTGTGATTAAAACAAGAATCTGGAGATAGGAAGATGATCCTGGATTATCCAGGTGAGCCCTAAATGCCATCACAAGTGTCCTTCTGTGAAGGGGATGGAGGGAAACTTGACCGCAAGAGAGAAGATGATGTGATGGTGGAAGCAGAGGTTGGAGTGATGCTTTGGAGGTGGAGGAAGGGGCCAGGAGCCCGGCAACACAGGCAGCCCTGGAAGTCATAAAAGGCCAGGAAATGATTCTCCCCACTAGAAATAACCAGCTCTGCTGAAACCTTGATTTTAGCTCAGTGGAACTGACTTTGGACTTTTAACCTCTATGACTGTAAGAGGATAAATTTGTTGTTGTGGGCCACCAAGTTTGTGAGGATTTGTTTCAGCACCAATAAGGAGACTAATACAACTAGTATCGACTAAGTGTAGTCCTATGGGCTTTGCCGGTGCCAGTTTGAATAATTCTCACTGTGGCCCTGGGAAGTAGCCTCTCTCACTTTATAAATACAGCAGGGGAGGCTCAGAGAGGGTGAGGAACATGCCAAGGGTCACACAGCTTGCTATGGCGGGGGTGGCCCAGGCAGGTTTATCCATCAGGCTGTTGAGCTTCTTGATGCAGGGAAGAACTCCATATACTGTTAAGACTCCCTCCAAGAAGTTACTAGCTCTAAAATATAAAAAAATAAAGTGGCAAAGTTGAAAGTATTAACAATTAAAAAGCAAAATCATTAGAAAATCCTTCCCCTATTTTTGTTTTGGGTAGAATGTGTTCTCCAGCGCCAGAGTGTGGTCCCTCTGTAAAACGCTCGCCATGATGAGAAGCAGGTCCTCCTCTGTGCTGAGTGAGAGTTTCCCGGCATGCTTTGAGGGTCCTGGATCCAGGGAGCAGCTAACCATGGGGCTACACTTCCCCACAGCAAGGGGCAACTCAGGCCCAGAGGATCACTTGCTTCGCCAGCACTTTCTCTTCTTGGAAGAGGGGCTCCTGGTGTTTGTTCTCTTAGAAAATTCATGAGCAAGTCTGTTATATCTGACAAATGACCAGATGAGAATACAGATTTTCTGTAGGGGACAGACATTTACAGTACTCCGGTGATATCTTGTCTGATGTTGGTGTGTATTACACACACATGCACACACTCTCACGCACACATACCAGCTGGAAGGACATCCCCATGTGAGCCCTGGAAAGGTGGCTCTTACCATCACCCTCACTTTTCTGAAGAGTAAAGTGGGGTCAGACAGAAGGTGGTTCAGATTTATGATGCCCAACAGCGTCCAAGCTGCATCCGGGGAAGCCTGGCCCTGGGGGAATGGGTCCAATCTGCGATGCCTCAGGCCCCGTCCAGTGTTCCGGGGATGGCAACTGACTGGCGGAGAGATGCAGCCTCATCTGCTCCCTCCCTGAGCCAGCAAATATGGGCATGGTGTGTCCTGCTCAGAGCAGGGGCCCCGAATGGCGATGTGACTAAAAGGCCATGTAAGAGTCTTGTGGCCTGGGGGCCAGTGATGCCTGGAGCTACCTTACCGTCCTCACTGAAGATGGGAGCCGTGTACAGGTAGTGGGTGATGCTGGGGTCTTGCTCGAAGGGACATTCCACTTGTTTCCATGTGATAAACTCTCCAACCTGCTTGGCCAGCTCCAGAAATTTCTGCCAGGGTCATAGAGACACAAGATGGATGCACTCCCAGGTCCTGGACGTCACCTGCGAGAGTGGGGCCAGCCCTGGCAAGGCCTTTTTCGTAGCCTCTGGGGTGGACAAGGTGGAACACTGGGCAGTAAATGACAGTATCACCCATCGAGAAACCTGGGTGTTTGTCACATCTCTTTATCTCCTCCAAGGAATCAGCTGTACTTGTCACCTAGGGCTCATCAGCCCCCATGTTGTGGGGACAGGGAGGCTCGGGCCATGGCCGCAGCAGGCAGTGCCTCTAGCTAGAGGTGGACCTTACTTTAGTTTCTATTTATTTTTGTGGTTATCCCAACTTATGGCAAGTTTGTTTATTTAAAGAATATGCAAGTAAATTTCGATAAATGTATTTAAATAAAATTAAGGTAAATTCACTGAAGAAGAATTTCATTTAAGTAAAATAGAAATATGCTTATTTAAATTTTAAAAAAGTACTAACTTAAAGAAGAAGTTTAAATAAATAGCAGTACCAAGTTATGAATGGGTGAAAGCCCCACTCCTGGCTTTATTTGACCAGCCCTCGCTGGCTTCGCCCCCATTGCCCGCATCCTAAATCCGGGCACCGGTGAGCACCTTGCAGTCTTGCCTCTCCACGCCCAGCCTCAGCTCTGAAGACCAAGAAGGCAAAAGACAGGGTTCCCGCCCTGGTGTGTGACGGAGTTGCCAGAAGAGGGCGCTCCCAGGCCCCAGGGCCCTGCAGCCTCGCCCAAGCCTGGCTTCTTCCATGTCACCTCTGGCCCGGAACTGCCCCTGGGGTGCAGGGCTCAGGTCATCTGCTACACTGGACTTCCCCCAGCTCCGCTGGCCTTCAGGGGTAATCAGGTCGGTGAGAGGCATGTGAAGGTCACTGGGGTGTTCGTGTGAGGCTGAATGGCCCAGGCGCCTGCAGTGGGCCCAGTCATCAGGTGACACCTGCAGAGCCCTTGGTGGGCCTAACAGCACATCCTCCTAGCCCCTCTGTAAGGCTGCGGAAGAAGCCCCCTTTCATAGACAGACTGAGGCTCAGACTGAGCAAGGAGCTGGCCCAGGGCTGATTGCTCTTGGAGTTGGAGGCTGGGTGGGGCCAGCACTAGGATAGGTTGGCCTTCCCAAGGTAGAAGAGCCCCCTCTTTCCTGTGGATTGGGGGTGCCACTGCTGCATGGCATGATCTGTCTGACTCAGTGACCACCTGCTGTCACTGTCCCACGCCATCAGGGCTTCCGGGCCCCGGCCCTCACCATGCCTAGCCTACCAGCTACTTTGAGCCACATGTGCTGGGTAGGCCTGTGTCGGGGGTTGTGAGATGGAGTGGAACAGCCTGGAACAGCTTTTGAGGAGTGCGGGGACTGGAGTACTGTGCCGAGGGACGCCCAGCCTATTTTTCACTGGCCTCCCTCTGCCTGGAAGATCTAGAGGGCTTCTTGGAGGAGGGGGACACTTGAGCTGACACTGGTGAGTGTCTGCTGAGGGAGAAGTCTTTCTTCCCTTGTGCCCATGTTGCCCTCTGACTGGTTACTTCCACTTGTTGTTCAGGCCTCCCCCTTGGGTAGGCCTCCCTGACCCCTGTGCACTGTGCCCCTGTGCAGCCTGTCACATCACCTCACCAGCTGTCACTATGGGTCTGTGGGGCTTTCTCACCAGCCTGGTGCTCCTCAGGGGCTGAAAATGACTCTGGTTCACCCATGCTAGGCACAAGGCCTGCCTGGAGTAGGGACCGATGGCTGCATGAACCTGACTCCTCCTATGGAAGATGTGGGGTGCACAGACCCTCATCGACCTGCTCTGACATTGGTCGCAAACTCTGTCTTGGGGTCCCCATTAGTCCAGCTGTCCAGGCCAGCGTTCCTGCTCTGGGAGCTCTTACATCCTGTCTAACTTGGTGGCACAGCCCCGGACCCTGGACCCTACCTCAAAGTTGATGTGTCCATTGGGGAGGCGGTTGGCACAGCCCTCGTTCAGGAAGTAGATGTCTTTGATGAGCAAGCTGAAGAAGGGAATGACGATCTGGAAGGGACAAGGTGTGGGTCAGCCCTTGCCAGCAGCCACCTGCCCCAAGGACCTCACATGCATCAGCGAGAGAGACTTCCTTGGCATAGATGGCTGGCCTCAGCATTGGCCTTGGGATGCACGGGGTACAGGTTACTTAGTGTGCCCCATGGGGCTGGACTGATTCCTCCTAGGCCTTGTCAGGTCCCAGTGCTGACTGAGCTCCTACTGTATACGGTGCCATTTGGGTCCATGGTGGGGCTGGGTGGAAGTCCCAATGCTCCTTGAACATTTCTTTCGTCTCCCACTGGGAGGACCGGCGCAGACTGAGCACATGTTTAATCCATATGGAATGGGCATCAACTCCTGTGAAAGTTTGTGGCCTCATTTTTAATACTTATTTACCAATTTGCTATTCTATGTCTTTCTTGATGCTAAAGCTCTGAGCCTGCTGCACTATGGTGAGGCCCAGCGCACAACCTTTTGGTCCCTGAAGGTCAGCCTGCGAATAGGGGGGTCTCTGTGCTTCTCTGTCAGATGTCTTGCTTGTCTCTCCCTGCCCTGTCGACCCCTAGAGAATTGAGTTTACTGCTGACAGCTCAGACACCCAGGGGAACTAGCTGGCTCTACCCTGCTATTGTGGGTTGAACTGTGTCCCCCCTCAAAAGATGTACTGATGTCCTAAACCCTGGTGCCTGTGAATGGGACCTTATCTGGAGATAATCTTTTCAGATAGAATGAAGTTAAGATGAAGTCATACTGGATATGCTGGGTTTTAATTCAGTGATTGGTGTCCTTGTAAAGAGAGGGACATTTGGACACACGCAGGAAAGATGGCCACATGAAGATTGAGACAGATTGAGATAGGAGCGATATGGCCACTGGCCGAGGAAATCCTGAGGCCACTTGAAGCTGCAAGAGGCCAGGAGGACCTTCCCACAGAGACTCTGGAGGCAGTGTGGCCCTGTCCACCCTGATTATGGCCTCCTGCACTGGGAGAGGACACATTTCTGTTCTAAGCTGCCCAGCTGTGTGCTTTGTAACATCAGCTGCAGGGCGCTAACTTACCCTCTCTGCCAGCCCAGCCTATCACCCTTGGAACTGGGCACCAGACACTGACATTTCTGGCTCAGGGAATGCCAAGTGAAGGTCACCTCCTATGCAAGATGACAGGCGCTTTGAGGCGAGGACCTGGGCTCTGACCACTCTGCATAGCACAGAAGTATGGATGGCTCAACTGGGCAGAGCAGATGAGGAAACTGAGGCCTATGGAGTGGCAGGGCTATGGCCGGCTAGTGACCACCAGGGCCAGGACCAGAGCCAGATTTAGCAGGAAGACCAACCGCCTGTTTTGCCGGAGACAGAAGGGTTTTCTGGGATACAGAGCTTTTGGTTCTAAAACTGGGACATCCCAGGGAACTGGTCACCCTGGAATGATGTAAATTCCACAGCATTTGCTCAGTTCTTCTCTGCACCAGGTGCCAGGGCTTGAGGGACAGTGAAGGTGTGTCAGACACATTCACCTCTGACCTCAGTGTACCAGGAGACAGTCATGGGAACAACTAGAGAGTGAAGGAGGCTTTGCTGCCCTTAGGCTCCCAAAGGGCCCTCTGTTTACACCTTTGTCATGGGGCCACCAGTGGTGGGCCTGAATGTTCCACTGAGCAGAGCCGTATGTGCACAAGATAGCGTTTTATGCTCACCACAGTCTAGTGAAGCAGGGCTCTTATTGCCTTACAGAGGAGGAAGCTGAGACCCAGAGAGGGTAAGTAACTCTCAGGAGCTCACACAGCAAGCGGTAAGGAACAGAGGCAGGCCTAGGGCCTAGGTGGCTCAGCCCCAGAACCTCTGCCTTTCCTGCTTCCTTAACGAGCCAGTCCATCTCCTCCATGCCCCAACACTGTCGCTGAGTCCCAGGCCTGTGTCGGAGCGCGAGGGCTGAATTGGGTTGGAATGGGAAGAAGCGCTGGGACAGGGAGTGGATTAAGGGCAGTGGGACGCTGAGGACAGACATGACTCCTCAGGGGCCTGGTGCAGGCTTCCTGGAGGCAGCGGGCATTGGAGTTGGTCCTCAGGGCAGTAGCATTTTCCACATACAAGCACTTTTCACCACTTCTGCCTGTCCATGTGGGTCCAGGCCCACCCTCTAGGGCTTTTGTCCTGGCTGGTCTCCCTGCCCCACGGGGTGACGCCAAACCCACTGCCCTTGCTTTCTGGAGCTGAGCAGTTCCATCAGAACCCAGCTCAGCCTGGAGGTCACCCAGAGAAGTCTGCGTAGTGTGGGCTGGCGACAAAGACAGGGGCAGGGGAGAGGGCAAGGTAGACAGGGGCCAACCACAGGCAAGAAGACAGCATAGGGTGACTACCGAGACTTCTGAGCCTTAAAGTTTCAGCTGGGGTCACTGGGGGACTGTGAGAGCATCTTGCAACCCTTCCTTCCTTCCTTCATTCCTTCCATCCATCCACCCATTTATCCACCCATCCTCCAGCCTTCTGTCCATTTATAAGGCAGCTTCTATGGGCCCAGCCCATGGTTCATCTCTCTCTGGAAGTTAGAGGAGAATGCAGTGAAACTAAATACACACCTCTGTAAGTCATCTGTCTACCTCCAGCACCAGACCTAAATGTGCAGCTGGCAGGGGGCTCTGAGTGCAGAAACAGGAAGTCCTGGTGAGTTCACTCTGCCCCACGGCCTCAGCACAGATGCAAGAGAAACGGTGCAGAGTGCCGGAGCCATGAGTGACACCTCAGACCGAAGGCCACAGCCAACACTATGCATCCCCACCCCACAGTCCAACTCCTGGGCCATAAGCCACTACCCGTGTGACTGCCACACAGCGCCTGTGCCTGGGAACAAGAGGCAGCCTGGTGGTGAGTACAAGCTAGAGTCTAACTCCCAGCTTTGCCACCCACTCGCCATGCGAATGGACAAGTGAGGCCTCCATTCTGAGACTCAGTCTTCTAATCTGGGAAATGGCAGAGCTGAAATCCACCCTGTAGAATAGTCACCAGAATTAAACGGAGGATGGAGGTCCAGTGGCCCTCATGTGATTGGTACTCAGTGAAACGAGGTTCCTACTGCCCTGGTGTCCCAGCTTCCTGGCTTGTGGGGGACAGGCTCACCTGCTCTGGGGCTTGAGGTCCCACTTCACTGGATGCTGCCCCCTCCTCCTCAGCCCTCCTTGGACCGGAGTTGCTGAAGTGCTCACAGCCCGAACAGGAAGGGCCATGAGTATCTCGCCTGCTCCCCAAATCTACATCTACCCAGTACAATTTCAGTGACTGCGGCTTTCAAGACAGCAGTTTGCTCTATTATGCCTCAAGCTGGCAACAGACCTCCACGCAGGGATCTGATGCCACCAAAGTTCCAAAGAGACCAGACTGAAGGCCCAGCCAGTCTCAGTGTTTCCTGTGCCCAGAGACGAACAGTGCTAATTGCCGGCTGGTGACAGGCTCCCAGACAGAGCATAACTGTGATCCCAGGGCCCACGCATGGCTTCTTGTATCAGAGGCCACTAAGAGAATTTGGAAGAGAAATAAAATTGATCAAGGCCAGTGAAGCCCCCCCCCCCCCAAAAAATGAAAGATAAAATTGATCAAGGCCAGTGAAGCCCCAGCCCCCCAATGAAAATGTATAGGAATGGAACCTGTGAAAAGGGCAGTTTTAGTGGGTGAGAAGCTTGGATCAGTCATTGCCAGATTCATCCATGTGATCTGAGGCCACATCAATGAAGGTATTGAGTTTAGATGAAGGAGGTGTAAGATCCTTCATACTTGGGATCACAATTTGATCTGAAAGGGAAGGGACTCTGACAAATGGAGCTGTTCAGGGATCAAAGAAACCCAAGTGGGAGGGGACTGAAGACCGGGGTACACAGGTCAGGTCTGGGGCTGCTGACTCAGGAGGAGAGCAGGAGAGGGGCCTGGGTACTCTGAAAGAGTGGCAGGTAGAAGAGGGAACAGTCTCACTCTGCACGGCCCCCCAGAGAGGACAACCCCAGGGGTTGGCTGCCACCGCAAAAGGAAGCCTTCTTATCAGTTAGAGCTGCTTGGGGGCAGGCTGATCTGTTTGATAAGGTGGTGCGTTCCCCCTACTAGAGGCATGCAAGCAAGGAGACGTGGTTGTCTATTACAGATGCTGTAGAAGCGTAGGGTTTGGACCAGGTGACCTTGGAGTTGGCATCCAGTTCTCTGATATTGCCCATCTGGGCCAAGGTGGTTGAGAGCAGGGAGGACCTACCTTTTCCCGGCTGCTGTGGGCCGTCAGGGAGCGGTGGGCTGCGCCACGTAGGGCTGTCCTGTAGTTGCAGAAATTCCCTGTTGGGTCCATCTGGTGCTGGAAGGAGACATGGATACGGCTGGGCAGCTGTGTCTGCGGACAGCCAGTGTTACCTGGTCACCCAACAACTTTGCTTACCTCGAGAATGAAAAACTTAGCTGTCTTCACTTTGGCCCAGGTCTTCTTCAGCCTAGAGACAGGGCTCATGTTCATGCCAGCTGAAAGAGGGAGGGCCGAGCTGGGGAGGGCTGCTCCAGGCTGCACAGCCCCCCTCACTTCCTCAGGCAGGAGGCCTCTGTGTGGCCCCAGCTGGCCCAGCCCCTCAGGCTGCACCCTGACCAGGGCTAAGGTCTGCAGCAGTCGCAGCTGTCAGGTGGCAGGTAGATGTCATATTGGGGCAGGCCTGGCTTCCACGAGTGCAGGCCGCCAGTCCCAGTGCTCGGCACACTGGACCCACACCATGACCAGGGCCTGCTCAGGGGCCCCTCTCTCCCTTGATCTAGGGACACATGCTAAGCCCTTACTGAGCACCCTGAGGGGGCTGAGCTTGCCTCCCTCGGACCTCTCGGGGAGCCATGGGCCCAGTTGGCACCCAGGCCTTGCTGAGAGGAGCACCCTGGCTTACACCCATGTGCCCGGGCACTCGTCCCGGGCCAGCCACTCACAGACAATGGCCATGAGGGAGTTGAAGTTGCCGATGTTGAAGCACTCGCGGGCCACGTCGACGAAGAACTCGATCACCTGGGCCCTCCGCTTCTTCTTGGCCGGCTGGGGACAGGACACCTGAGCCTCAGCCATGATGGATCCTTGCCCTGCTCTGACCACACACCCTGCTCACCTGGCCAGTCCCTCTTAACGGCTGAGATGTGTGATGTGAGCAGTCTGCAGCCCATGGGCTTGGGGACTCCCACACATCCTGGGCAGAGCCAGCGTAGACCTTACCTCTGGGGAGGACTCTGGGTGGGAGGGCATGAGGTCACCTGCCCAGCTCCAGCACCCCCTCTGGAAGCAGAAAGCATGGCTCTCTCGCTTTCCCCCCAGCACCAAGCTTGCTGTCCCCACATGGGGCCACAAGCCAACCCTGGCTCGGATGGGCTGAGTTCAGGCTTCGCTCAGGCAAACCCCATGCCAGCTGCCAGGCCACCAATGTCAACGTACGGAGCAGCAGGGCCCCGGGCCCTAGGCCGTGCTCCTTCCGCAAAGATAGCGCTGACCTGCCTCCCACAAGTGCAGCGCTAGTCTTATCGCCACTGAGAAGCATGCTGTGGGGTCTGCGGAGAAATGCTGCTTCACCCCCCTTCAGAGAGCTGCCTGCCTTGGGTACTGCCCTGTCCTTCTCAGGGCAGTGCAGTGACAGTGATGGTGACCAAGCAAGGTGGGGATGTGGGCTCAAAAACAGGAAACACTCTCATGGGTGGAGGCATCGCAGGTCAGCTTCTCCTTCTGACCAGGCCCGCCTCTTCCCCTTTTTCTGTCACAGGTGTGCACCCCCAGAACCACCTCGCACCCAGGCTCTGTAGCAATGTCTGCTTTTGGAGAGCCCAACCTGGCACATGTGCTGCCTCTAGTCTTTTCCTGAGACAAGTGGCCCCTGGGTTTCACCTGATGGTGGGGAGTAGGTTCAGGGAAGGGTCCCTTTGTTGTAAGGGAGAGAAGAAGGTGGGCTGGTCTGGCTGGCGGGACTGTGTCTCGATGACAAGCTCAGCCTCGTCAGGTCTTCCTGCTTTCTACTTCCCAGGAGAAGCTGGAGACCTGGACTTTGAATGTGCGATCTCTCAATTCTTAAAGGTTGGGTGATATCTATCTCTCAGTTGCAAGTGAGCCAAACAAAATGGGGCTGCAGGCCAGTCCCCCTAAGGTAGACAGGCACAGATGGAGGAAGCAGAGGCCGCCCCTCACTCCTTCAGCCAGCAGTCTCAGAGGCCTGTGGATCCATGCCAGGCTCTACTCAGAGGGAAAATGTCACCACAGGCCAGCCAGGTGACACCTGGTGTCCCAGAGGGGTGCCCAATCTGGCCTTGGGCTTGGAGACAGATGGGTGCAAGAAGCCCATTCGCTTCCCTCCCAGGAGGGCTCGTCCCAACCCCCGCCTGCCTTTGGCCATGCCAGGCCATGCCCCCCGGTTTTCCACACACCATGCAGATCTCAGTCGCTACGAGGTAGCATAATCTGTTGAACCACTTCACGTAAGCTTCCAGGTTCTTCGTCTTGTCACTGAAACAGGGCTAGAAAAGATGCAAGGACAACACTCAGTCTTTTTGTCAATAATTTTTGGAACATGAAGTCAGTTCATAATCATTACAGATAATCTGAATAATGCCAAACTCCAAAATCATCCACAGATAGCAATGATTTGATGTGTATCCTTCTAGTCTTTTTTCCATACACTTAGAGATATAATTTAATATGATATTTATTAATACGATATATAATTGTTGATCCTCATTATTCACTGATCCTGTATTTGCAAATCTATCTACTCCCTCAAAATTTATTTGTAACCTCCCAAATCATACTTGCATCACTTTTGCTGTCATTTATATGTGCGGAGTGGCAAAAAATTTGAGTCACCCAATGTGTGCTGAAGTTAAGCTACGTGATGCTCCGCCTTCTTGCTTCAGCTCTCATACTGCAAACAAGTGTCCTTTCTGTGGTCTATTTAATGTGGTGGTGATTTCACTGCTTAAAGTGGCCCCTGAGCACAGTGCTGTCTAGTGTCCCTAAGCACAGGAAGGCTGTGGTGCCCCCACGGAGAAAATATACGTTAGATAAGCTTTGTTCAGACATGAGTCATAGTGCTGTTGACTATGAGTTCAGCGTTATTGAATGAACAGTATATATTGAATAAAATTTCTTTAAACCAAAACACACATAAAACAAGGCTGTGTGTTGATCGATTGATGAAAATGTGATGACAATGTGATGAGAGGCTTGCAAGGAAACTCACCTTGTATTTCCCTTAGGAGCAGTGGCATTTGTTAATCAGTGTTCATGACTTTATGGGATATAACTACTTTGAATAATGAGAATTGACTGTGTGTATGTATGTATCTATCTATCTATAACTATATATATTTCCATATTTTTCCATGTGAACTTTTCATGTGCCATATAATATCTTTTAGAAATAAATTTTTAAAACTGATGTCAAACATTCCACTATATAAATATACCACAATTTCAAAAATTAAACTTAAGTTAACTTAAATATACATATTAAAATTGTCAGGGTGGCTTTCAATAAACACAGAGGGAAGATGAAATGGGGGATCTATCCAAAAGAAGTAAAGAAAGGAGGAAAAAAGAAATAGGAAAGGTAAGGAAGACCATGGAAAGGTATAACAGAAGACAGTAAAAACGAATCTGTATACATCAGTAATTACAACCATTGTAGTTAAAAAACTCAGCTACTTGCTATTTTCAAGAGAGATACCCTAAACCCAAGGAGATAAGTAAAAGGAAAAAAAAGAAAAAGAAAAAAGCATATGATAAACATCACATTGCTATATTAATATTAGCCAAAATAGATTTTCAGCTTAAAAAAGAGACTCAAAGACAAAAAGCATGAGAAAAGATTAAAGTTATTGAGAAGATGTCACATAGAAAATTGTTTGCACCTAACAACATAGCTTCAAAATATGGTGGCAAAAATAATCAGGAAGGAAAAGTTCTATGGATGTTAAAAAATTAAAAACTTAAATAGAGAATATTGTGAATAACTTTTTGTCTATAAATGTGAAAACTCAGGAGGAAAGGTCAAATTCCTGGAAAAATATAAATTATAAAACAGAGTAAAGAAGAAATAGAAACCTAAATAGTCTTGCAACTACTAAAACAACAGCAAACAAACAAACAGTATATATATATTGAATCAGTATGTAAACATTTTCTCTGTAAAAGGAAATATCAAGCTCAGATGGTTTCATTTGCAAATTCTATCAAACATTCCAGGAATAGGTGATTTCGGTCTTCCACACAGAACAGAGAATGGAGAGAGACTAGACAAGAAAAGTGACAGAAAGGAAAATAACGGTAAGAAATATAATAGAGAAAATGCCATATGTAAGGTATGCATAAGGCACCCACGGAAAAAATCTAACAAAACTTGATTAAGACTTTTATGGAGAAAACTATAAGAACTTAGAAAGATATTACAGAGTAGACCTAAGTAAATGGAGGGACGAACTGTTTGTACAGGTTGGAAGAGTCAATATCATGAAGATGTAAATCCTTCCCCAATTGATCCATATTTAATACATTCTAACGAAATCTCAATAGGACTTTTCACTGAATTTGAAAAGTGATTCTAAATTTAAACAAAAAAAACAAAGGGCCAAGAAGAGCCAAGGCCCCCCTAAAGAGGAACCTGGGGGAGCTACTCAACCAGTCAAGACCTATCATACAACTGCAATAGTGAAGACAACGTATATCGATACTGAGACAGAAAAACGACCCATGGAGCAGAACAGACAGTCCAAGAACAGATCCATACACAGAGAAACCTGACATACGACAGCAGCAAAACTGCCCGGGAATGTGGGTGGACAAGGGAAGACATAAACGATAGTGCAGAAACAATTGTTATTTGCATGGAAAAAAAATGAAAATGGACCCCCACCTTCAGCCAAATCTACAAGATGAATTGCTGATTAAAGACTTAAATGTGAAAGGTAAAACTCTAAAACTTCTAGAGGAAAACAGAAAATTATCTTTATGACCTGGGTAAGGAATAGGGGGAGATTTCTTAACTACCACCACCACCAAAAACAAAAAAACAAACAAAATAAAACAAAACAAAACCATAAAGGGAAAGTTTAGTAAATTTGACTTGGTTAAAATTAAGAATACACACCCATCAAAAGACATAATAATGAGAATAAAAGCAAAGCTACCTACCAGGAGAGTAAAATTTGCAGTACTTCTGACACATAAAGGATAATTATCTAGTACATATTTAAAAAAAAAAACAAAACCACAAAACTTTTAAAAATTCTTAAGGAAAAGACAAATCACTAATAGAAAACTGGATGCAAGTTAGGGACAGGCATTTCACAGAAAACAAGAATGTCCCAAACCCACGAAAAGATGCTCCATTTAACAGTCTGACAAAAACAAAGTAGTCTGACAATTTCAAGTATCAGTGAGGATTCATAGCAAGAAAAACTCCCCACTGGGGACAGCCTCACCTGACATTGCCTGGTAAGGCTGATCATGTGCCTACTCTGTGACAGAGGCAGTAATCCCTCTCCCAGGTATATCCTAGAGCAACAATTCTCAGAGTGTTGTCTGTGGACTCCTGGGTGTCCACAAGGGCAAAACTATTTTCATATTTATACAATGGTAAGCCTTTTCGCTGTGTTGACATTGCAGTGATGTGTAAAAGAATGGAGGGAAAAATTTCTGCCACCTTAGCCCACATGGAGGTAGAGGCACCAAACCAGTGTGGTGGCATCATGCTCCTCACCATCACACACACAGAGAAAGAAAAAGAGCGAGTGTGACTTAAGAATGTCCTCAAGGAGGAAAACATTTTTCCATTTTATTAAATTTTGATCTTCAAGTCTTTGTCATAGTCTCTCTGACGAAATGGGAGTGTACACAGGTGCTTCTGCTTCATGCAGAGGTCTGAGGCTGGTCTTGAGAAAGAGCACTGTGTGACTGATTGGCGAGCCAGCTACTTTTCTCAGGGAACGCCATTTTTACTTGACAGAGGGACTGACCCACTATGGCTATTCAGACTTCAGTATTTGGCTGATATTGTCTTGGAAATGAACAAAATGAGACTGTCACTTTAAGGAGAACAGTCGATAATATTTGTTGCCAATGTTAAAATTCAAGTTTTCAGGAAAAATTGGGAACTTGTAAAACATGTTGTGCACCTCTGGCAGATTGGCAGCTTCCCAATACTCGAGGATTTTTTTTTTTTTTTAAATGAGACTACTAAGTGATATTCATGAATGTGATTTTAAAATATTGTATAACAAAACGTGCCAACATTTGGAAGATCTCCTTGATTCAGTGAACCCATATTTTCCAAATGACCAATGTATGATGTTACGAAATCATGCATGGGCAAAGAAGAGCTATTCAAGACGCAAGAGGGACGAATGGATTTCCATGTAATAGAGTCCAGAAAGTCCATTGATATATTTTCATATTGCTAATTGCAATTAATCTTTAACAACTACCACTTACTGACTTGCAGTGTAGTATCAAAGAAGATTTACAATGATCTGAAATGGCTGTAAAATGTACTTCCCTTTTCCGACTACATATTTATGTCAGGTTGGAGTTTCCACGGATAATGTATGTCAAGAGATTGAATGTAGAAGCAGATAAGAGAATCCAGCTGCCTTCTAAGTCAGTCACTTGAGAGATCTGTGAAAATACTGTAAGACAATGTCACCTTTTTATTTTTGGAAAAATAAAAAAATAATTTTTTATCTTGGAAAATTCAGTTATTTTTCACAAAATATGTTACATATGTCAGCCTATAATGGCTTCTTTCTCTGTTACTTTTGAATAAATAACTATGTTAAGTTATCAGTTTTAATGGCTAACATAATAAATATTGGAAGATAAAATCGACATAACCAAAAGTTCTTTGGAATCCTCCATAATTTTTAATAGTGAAAAGGTATCCTAAAAAAAAACACACTTGAGAACTGATGCCCTAGAAATATTTGCACCCACGTACACTAGGAAATGTGTAACAATGTTCATAGCAGCAAAATCTACAATAGCAAGAGGCTGGGCGCTGCACACATGCTCATGCTCATATAGAGCAGAGTGGGTGAATAACTGTCACGTGGAATTTTGATGTATTTCACAATAAAAAAGTAATACTTGAAAGTGGCCAAAACCTCCAACAAAAGGAAAGAGAGAAACAAACAACCCACTAAGAGTGGCAAAGTCTGCTTCCTGCTCCTGCCCCAGCTCCTGTCCCGCCCTGCTGAGCGCCCTGGAGTAACCAGGATTCCCAGAGACTGTCTATGTAGCCCTGCCTGGGCAATCAGGAATGTATCATGCACCCTCCTTCGTGTTGTTATTACGAATGGCCACATACTTTTTGTCACTGCTCTTCACTCTACTTCCTTCTCTCGACAATGGATCTTGGCGCTTAGTCCATACTTAAACAGTCCCTCTTATTCTTTTTAATAGTTGCATAACATTCTCCGTGTGTGAATGTAATATAATTTTTAATCCGGTCCCCAGGCTTTGGATGTAAGGAACCCTGTTTATTTCAAATGTTTTGCGTATATATGTTGGTGTACACGGGTGTGTATATCTGTAGGATAAACTATTAGGTAAAGAAAGTTGGGGTACAGAGAGTACATTTGAGTGTTGATGTTCTTGCCACGCTGCCTTCCAAAGTGGCTGTGCCAATTTCGCCTTCTACCGTCCATGTATGAGAGCGTCCCTTTTTTATACAAAGTTTGATCTTTGCTAATCTGAGGGGTGAAAATGCAATCGCATCTTTAGTTTGCACTGCTTTCATTAGGTGCAGGGCAGAAGACACGTTTCTGGTTCTCATTAGCATTTGACTTCGTTGAGAAGCACCAGGCACCATGCTGGTTGGGCTCTGAGAGAGGAGGGATGGGCTTTGAAATCCGTGTGTGGAAGACGTCCTGAGCGCGTGGCCCAGGAGTCCCTCCACCCTCAGAGGGACGAGAGCGCCCTGACCTTCCCTGGGCAGCGCGCACCAGCCAGCGCTTCCCCGAGTGACCGCTGGAGGGCACCGGCGCCCACCGAAATGCATCCGGAGAGCACACGGGGTTCCTGAGCAGCCGGAGGCGCCCTCTACCCTCCTCCCCACCGAGGGCTTCAGCTCCCCGCTTGCACCTTCGACCTTGTTAGGCGTGTGACCCAGCCGGGAACGTCTGCTCTCCCATGCTTCCCCCGGACTCGGGGATGTCACGGTCTGAGGCCCTCTGGCTGGAGGCATGGGCTGAGTGGGCATGGCCCTTCCAAGCCCATAGCCTGCCCTGGGCCCCTGGGAAGCTGGCTGAGATGATGCTGGTGCGGGGGGGGTGGGGTACCCCATAGGGACCAGTGGTCGCTGCAGGTACAGCCCGTCCAAGGGACTTCTACCTTTGTGCTGGCCAGAGGGTCCTTGTTCACAAAAGCCTGGACAAACTCCTCTGGCCCGATGTGTCTCAGGCGTTCCTGCGTGGGAAGGGAGAGGAGGAGTCAGAAACCGGAAGTTATGGGGGCCTGGCATAGTGCTCCTGCAGGCTCCCTGCCTCCCGGGCCACCCCCAGAGGGTCTCTGGGCACCTGCCCTTCTCACTGGAGCTCTGCAACCCTGTTCCGGGTTGTCACAGAGCTCAGCACCATCTCTGAAAGAGGCAGTCCCTCCTTTCCCACGTTCAAGGGCTGCCTCAGTTCATGGGGAGGAGCGGGGAGGGAGCGGGTGTAGGAGCAATGTCCCCATAGAAAGTGCTTGTGGGGTGATACCCAGGAAATGGGGCTGGAAATTGGTAATTGATGACCCATTCTCACCAGGGGAGGCCTGGTGGCTAAGACCATGGGGTCTGGGTCAGAATCAAATCCTGGTTCTGTCTCTTCTGCTGTGTCTGGCATGTCACTTAAACTCTCCAGGCCTTAGTTTCCTCATTTGTGAAAAGAGAATAATAATAGCATCTACCTGGCGGGGTGGTGGGAAAGTGAATGAGACAGTGTCTGTAAGCATTGAGTATAGTGCCTGGAAAAGAGCAAGGGACCTATAAATGGTGGAGGTTTAGCAGGATAGAAACCCACACCCCAACCTCCTCTCTCTGGGGTGCCCCCTTGGCCTCTGCTTCTACCAGGAACCCAACATGCTGGATGCTGGGCCTGGGGATTCCCTTCATAAGCAGGAAGGCCTGTCTGGCCAGAAAGCTAGGGTCATCGGTACAATGTGCTTGTGTGAGTCCCGGATAGGGAAACTGAGGCATTAGTGAGAGGATCATACAGTAGGCGGTGTCAGAGCCAGGATTTGAACCTAGTTCCTCTGTCCCGGGCCTGGACTCTCATGCTGGCCAGTGGTCAAAGCTGGGCAGGGTTAGCACCTCCAGCCCCGGAGTGGCGAGAGAATACTCCAGAGCCAGGTCACTCTGGAGAGGCCTGGCTGGCCCTGCTGTGCTGGGCTCAAACTCTGTGTTATGCTGAGGCGGGCCAGGGTCCAGATGTAGGTGGAGGGGTGGCCAGCAGTTATCAGATGTTCCTGGCTCTGGGTCCAGGCAGAGCGTGGCATGGGCCCGCTTACCAGCTCCACGTGGGTCAGCTGCTGAGCCAGCGTGTAGGGGTCGCTGCAGACGCCAAGGAGCTCCCTGTGGATGGAGGCTGGTGGCTTGGTCCTGTAGGAGATGGGCTTGTCGGCACCCAGCAGGCTTTCTGGCCCCTGACCCAGAGCTGCCAGCTTCTGGTGCAGAGCCTGCAGGAGCTGGTGCATCCTCCTTCTGTATGCCTGCAGGGGTGAAGAGAGGGCACTCATACCTGAACACCCATCTCTGCCTCTCTGATGGTTAAGGTGGAAGGGCCGTCGGTTGGCAGGGATGGGCTATTCCTAGGTGTGCCTACACCTGCTTCATCCTGAAGCAGGACCCAATCCAGGGCAGGTTGAGGTTGGGACCACAGCCAAGACCAGCTGAGGAGAAGTCTGCAGGGTTACCATGGGAGCTGAGAAGAGCACACATCCAGGGGGGCGATGGAGATCCAAAGCTACCCCAGCTGTCAGGGCAGTGGGGTAGGTGGGCTGGGCCGTGCCAGGGAGCAGAGGATGGGAGGGAGCAGGGAGGTGTGGAACAGGCCCTGCTCCGGGCTTGGTCTTCAGAGCCGGGCTGGCTCTAGGCACTCAGTGGGCACTCAACAACCACTTACTGTGCCAATGGAGTCCCTCACCATGCAGCTCAGGTGGGTGCGTTCCTCTTTGGGCCACCCTGGACTGGGTACAGGGACAAAAGGCCATGATTCTGCCCTCGAGGGGCTCCCACCCTCCTCCTCAAGGGGAAACTGATAGTTTCCCCCTCAGAGACCTCTCTTCAAGAAGGCTCCACTGGACTAGCTGGTTGGCTAAGTGAGATGCCCACACATTCCAGGGCTTTGATCAGTAACCCACAGGATGAGCCCTTGAGCTTGTTAGCGAATGCCGCCCAGAGGTGGCCTCTGTCCCCCATGAGCCGAGGAGCTGACAGGGAGTGGTGCTGGGCCCCAGGGCCTGGTCTCTGGGCAGCACCGAGGTGTCAGCAGGCAGGCAGTGCACATCTGGTGGGCCGGGTCCCAGAGGCCTGAGAGGTAATGGCGGTGAATTGTCGGCGGTGAATTGTTGGCAGTGAATTGTCAGCACTGCCAGGGAATTTCAGAGCAAATGTGTTTATATCATATGCTCTTTTGACACACACAGAAACCCAGAAGCATCTTGCAGGTGGGGTGTCTGGCTTGCTGGACCTATGTGCTGGGGTCATGGATGGCTCCTCAGGTCTCTCACGGGATTCCAGGTGGCTGTTGAGGTCCCACATTGTTGGTGCTCAAAGCGCTGGTGATGTAGATGGAATCCACCAGCCTCGGATGGAAGTGCTGCTCTGTGAAGTAGCCACAGGAGCCTGTGGCAGAGCCCTCTGGGCACAGGGACTGCGACAAGAGGCTGCCTAATCTGAACCTGAACCCCAGAGCTGTGGGGGCAGACCCGGAAGGCATCTGCTGGTTAGCTGGGCAGTGTGTGGGTAAACTGAAATCCTACTCTACTCTGCTCTCTGTTACCGTAGAAGGAACAGCCCCTCTCAGTTCTGTCGTCTCCAAAAGTGTGGTCAGCACGCTGCCTGCTAGGTCTTCGTTTGAGTGCCAGGAAGATGGTGAGTTGGGTCCTGCCACAGCCAGCCCTGGGCAACACCTGTCACCTGTGAGCCCTGATACCTCCACTGGCCACCATCTCTCTACTTTACCCAGTTAGTCATCTGGGGCAGCTGCACTGCTGTCAAGTTCCTTCACTCCCACTTATCCCTCCACCGCCCCATCTGGCTCCACTCCTTTCAGCCAGAGGACTGACTCTCGCTGTCACCTCAGGACCCAACATGAAAGCCAGGGGCCACTTCTCAGGCTGCATCTGCCTTGGCCATGTTGCCTTGCAGCTTGTCTGTCGGCACCATGGCTGGAGGCTGGGGTTCTTCCCATCTCCCTCTGTCCTCTCTTCCCCTTGCTCTGCACTGCAGTGCTGCGGATGCTGCTTCACATCCAGAGTGTCGTTTGGTATGTGTGTATTTACATGTGCAGCTTCTCCTCTGATTGCTAGAGCCACATGGCCAAAGGGCCCCTTCAGTCCGACATATGTAAGTGGAAGTCATGCTGTCCTCCCCCCAGAGCTGCCACCTCGGCCTGCTACCCTGCCTCAGTGGACAGAGTGCTGGCCAGGTATGTGGGCCTGGGGTCACCCTCCAGAGCACTCTCCCTCATGCCCCTCCAGTCATCCACCATGGTCTCTGTTGTCCAGTCGTGGCAATTTCCCTGGTGGCTGCGGTGGCCTCCTCAGTGGGCCTCCTGCATCCATGCAGGCCTCTCCCCACTCCACTGCACTGCCAACGGTCTTTTTGAACTGCACATCTGACCCCTGCACCCTCTTCCTTAAAATGCCCCCGACGTGCACAAAGACCAAAGCCCTGTGCGGCTTGGAGTCCCTGAGGTCAGCTCTAGCCTCGCTTGATGGCCTCCATGTGGCCTTGCTCCCCTTGCCTCTGCTCCAAACACAGGCCACTCCTTTCTCTTTGGCCTCTTCCCCACCCCTACCCCGTGCCCCGGGCAGGGTCTGTGCAGCCTTCTACTTCTTGGCATGTCCTCATCCTCTGGCCATGAGGCATTGGTGCCTTTCCTTTATAGCCCTGCCCACCCACTCCAGGACTGTCCTCTCCCCTGTCCCTCCTCTCATTACATTGCCAGCTCTCGCAAGCCACACTGGCCACGTTGCTCAGCCCCAGCACGAAGGGCAGTGCCTGGCTCTCGGGAGAGGCCCGCACGTATTAGCTGATAGTTGGACGTGGCCTGTTAGCCCCTCCTGGGTGGACTGTGGAGCCCTCCTGAAGTCAAAGATGCAGCAGGCCTGTGCCTAAGATTTAATAGGACCACATCCTTACCCGATTTAAAAATGTGCAAATAATTTAGCAGGAATTGTTTCTATTGAACTAGTTTTCACTCCAAGTAATGATCATTTCCTGTGTGCTAATTCACTGAGATTTCTTCCAGTGGCGTTATCCTCAAGCTTATTGGTTGCTTCTTTCCTAAATCTTCTGCTCCCCCTCTGAATGCAGGGACAGGATTTGCCCTTCTTGTTGACCTCCTTTCAATTTCTCATTGATTTCTACATGCTGTGGGTAGAGGCTGGGAGATCTCCGCAGTATAACTGGGCCATCTCCGTGATACACCTGGGCCCACACAGAGACCCACACTGAGAATGTCAGGTGTTCCCTGTCCCTAGCAGGAGCCCAGGCTGTGCTGGGCAGGGTGCTGCATTGCCTATGGCTTGTGGCTTGCCTGCCGGCCTGGGAGGATGAGGTCTTTCTTCTCCATCCATGTCCACGAACCGCCTACTGCACACACACAGCTGGGTTCAAGGGCAGAGGTCATTTGTGGGTGTGGCTGTGGCTCCCCAGGTGCCTTCATGTTATCTCAGACTGGGCTTTTCGTGCTTAGAGCCCTTATCTCTGGCTGGGCAGGGGGCCTCTGTTTTCTGAAGTTCTTGAAACTCCCCTGAGCCAGCCCAGGGGGATCACCCCTGCCCCCGCTACCCGCCACCCCAGGCAAGAGCTCTACACACCCTGCCCAGTTTGGTCTCAATGTCAGCTTTCCGCCATCTGTGCCCTTGGGGGAGCAGTCACAGGCAGTGGGGTCAGTCCAGCAGACAGTGCTGTGAGCTGGCGGGAAAGCAAGATCAGTCCCCCAGAGGGCTGCCCTTCACATCTGCCTCCTCTGCCCATGCCCAATGGGTGTGGCCAGGGCACTGCTGTCTCCTGTCCTGTCTCTCTTACCTGGGCTTCGACCTCTGGGCCTACCCTGGGCTCCCCCAGCCTCCCTCACCTTCAGCACTGGTCTCCCTGAGCTAAAACTGTGGAGTCCAATCTACTGGGAGCCCCTCCAAGGCCCGGCTGGCCATGACACACTCCTGGGTCCCCTAGGAAGGCATCCTTGGGAATCCCCAAAGCCCAGAGCAGGGTGATGGGAAGGCTTCTGTGGGAATTCCCAGAGCCCACAGTCATGGCGAATGGCCTTCCCAGCTCCTCTCCAGCCTTTTCTTCCCAGCTGCTGAGAGGCGGCGGGGAGTACACTGAGGATGAGGCTCCCTGGAAAGGGGGCAGGAAGAAAGAGAAAGATGTCGCCTTTCAGTGCTGCTCTGATGGGAAGCCCCACTGGCCTTGGCCTTGTGTGGTCTCCTCCATGTGCCTGGGCCCTTTGTTCTCCTCACAATCCTATGGGGGTGCGCTTATCACCCTCCCTCTTACAGAAGACATTGAATGCTCAGAGAGATTAAGTAACTCGCCCAAAGATGCGCAGCTCTGAAAACGCTGAAAACACTCGTGTTTGTCTCACTGCCTTGTGCAGGGCACTTGATGTCATTTGATTCGACCCCTGTGTTAGAAACCTTTTACAAAATAATGCTGAAATAACTCGGGAGCAAAAAATATAATGTCTTTGATCTGTTTAAAAATAATTTGGCAGGGGGAGTGCGTGAGAGAATAGAAGAAACAAGTTTGGGGAAATGTCGATAATTGTTGAAGCGAGGTGCTGGGTCCACAGGAGCTCATGATTACTATTCTTTGTTTATGTATGTTTGAAATGCCCCATGATAAAAGTTCCATAAATAAAAATAATCCCCATGTGCCTAAATTTTGGAAAGAATTTGTTCATCATCAGAGGTCACAGTTACTGAATGCTGAAATAAGAGCACTGGTGACCTCAGGGACTCTGCTTCGATGCTGTGTGATGGGGACAGTTATTATCTCTGTTTATGGATGAAGCAACTGAAGCTCAGAGAGGGGCAGCACCTTGCCCAAGGTCACACAGCTGTGGTTCCCGAGTCTGGGTTCAAGTGGTCTGATCCAGATCTCTCCCTCTGAGTCCTAAGGGCCTTTCCTCATCAAGGAAGGAGCAGGGCTCACCTTCTCCCTTCTGAGCGAGCCCCTGCCTATAGCCACAGACAGCCTGCAGCATCTGGCGGACGGGAACCAGAGCCTAGAAGACCTCCCATCGAAGCGGGGGCTTTCTGTGGAAGGACAACTTGGGGATCATGAAGACACTTGGGGGGCCCTTGGCCTGGACCTCGGTGGGGTGAGCGGCCAGAGAATCCTGTTTCCAGCTCACGCACTTAATTGGATCCCAAGAGAAGAGAAGAAAAATGTCCTGAATGAAGACGTTTCTGCTCCCAAAATCCCAACTTGGTAGATGACTGCTCTCAAAAGCCCAATCATAGGTCTCAGTTGTATCTTATTTTCATCCACTAGATGGTTAGAAAAGATTTCTCATCACAGCCCTGACAGGTTCTCAGGGGGTCAGTGAGGAGACACTGCTTCTCAAGGAAACCAGCCCAGGATTTACACCTACTCCCCCACCCCCAATGCAGCCAGAAGGCCAGGGTCTGCCTCTGAAATGTCTATGCCAATGGCAGAAGTGGGCCTAATAAGGGTCGATAATCCTGTCTTGTCAATGGCTGAGACCTCACCACTGCTGAAGGCCTCCTGGCCAGGGGAAGGGGTGGGGGGAAGAGGGGAGGAATAAGAAGCAGGTGACTAGGTTCTTATCCCCCTACATACCTTCTACTCCATCCATCCATCCACTCACCCACCCACCCATCCATCCATCCATCCATCCATCCATCCATCCATCCATCCATCCATCATCCTTGCACCCATCTCTTCCCTACCCACCTACTGTTGTCCACTTCGCCTTTTGTACAGTCACCCTCCCACAGATCCGTAAACTCACTAGTCTATCTTTCCTCCCTCCTGACATTTACCTACTCACCCTTCCACCCACCATTCATCCACCGATCCATTTATTCATTCTTATTCATCCATCTACTCCCCCCACCCACTCACCATCCACCCACACACCCATCCACCTACCCACCTACCCACCCTCCCATCCATCTATTCATCCACCCACCCACCTATCCATCAATCTTCCCACATCCACTCACCCCATTAATCCACTTGCCTATCTAACTACCCAAACATCTGTCTTCCCTCCTGCATCCATCCTTCGAAGTAGCCAACTATGTATCCAGCCAGTCAGCCAGCATCTCCTCCCCGTGCTTCTACCCTCCCCTCCTGATCTATCCAATTATCGATCATCCCTGGCCCTATTCTCTGCCTCATCCTAACCAAGCGTCAGGACCCCCAGATGGACCAGGGGGTGCAGAAGAGGAGGAGATGACCCTCATCTCACCAGGATCTCAGAACAGCTAAGTTACTTGTCTGCTGTATGAAGTGTCCCCAGGGCGGGGACACCCTCTCTGAGCCTCAGTTAGGCTTTGGGCTTTATGGCTCCCTATTGCTCAGCCTCCCTTAGCAGTTTTCCTTTGCTTCATACAGTTGGCTCTGCCATGTCCAGACCCACTTCGGGGCACGTCACTAGCTACCAGCTTGCCATGGACAGTCTCCTTCCAGGGCAACTGACAAGCGCTACCCCTAATGTTCTCCTCCAGAAAAAGCAACATCAGTTCTGGCCAAAGAGTCATTCTGCAGATACTGATAAACCTGCCCCTTCTAAATGTACCAGGAGGCCCCTTCCCCTTTGCGGAACCCTTCTTTGTAGTCTCAGCATAATCCTGGGGGGGGTTTTGTCTTCCTGCCACCCATAAGAAAAGTGAGGCTTAGAGACCTTTAAGTGCCTTCCCCAGAGTAACAGCTGGGAAAGCTGGGCAGGGTGCGGGGCGCAGAGGCACCTGATGCCTGGGACATGGGCTGCCTCCCAAGATGCCGGAAGTGTAAGGGCTGTGTTTACCCTGGTTTGTGATTTGAGCCACAGGGAGACCTACTCTCCTCCTCTGCCCCTACCCTGCAGGATTTACAATTTCACCCCAGAGGCTCAGAGGACCCCAGGAGAATCTGACCAGACAGTGTGTGGCTGTTATTCCCACCATTGCTGTTAGTTTGGTTTGCCCTGCAGAGCCCTTTGCATCCCTGACTGGCAGGTCCTTGTCCAAGGGCACTGACTGCCAGCCCAGCCCCTGTATGGTACAGGGGGAGGAGGGGGAGGCCTCTGTGCCACAAGGCCAGGAGGGCCCTGCCAGGCTGGCCTAATGGGTCATAGACAAATGGCCTAACCATGCAACCACAAGAGCCCATGAGTGGGTCTTCCCTGGCTTGCCATCTGATCCCATCGATGAGAGTAGGCAGGAGAGAAGACAAGAGACCAGTCCTGGAGCCAGTGGCCTGGTTTCCCAGCTGGCTCTGTAGTGCCTGATTTCCTGACAGGGCAGAAAGGGGCAGATGGTAGAGGAGCTACAGTGAGCAGCTGGGGAGACATGGGCCCTGAGGTGGGCTCTGTATCAAGTTCAGGTCCCGGTGTCAGAGCGTAGGCAGGGTGAAGGACTCTTTGGCTCTCCTACCTCGTCACAGGGGGCGATGCGGCCCACCACGTCCTTCACGTGCCCAATTGTCGACTCTTCCTGGAAGTCCTGCGGGAAGGTCTCTGTCCACTCGGCCAACAACTGGAGCAGTTTGGGGCCAAACTTCCGGACCTGGGCCTGCAAGGCAAGACGAGGGGCCCACATTGAGTGAGGGGTCCTGGGGCCGCATCAGTCACTGCCTCAGTCACTGCCTCTTTGCCGGGTCTGGGCTGCCTGGGCAGCAGCAATGGGAGCCAAGGGGGATGGGACAATGCCTTCCCTGTGCTAGGTGCCCAGAGTGGCACATGGAGATGGGGGCTGACCACAGAGAAGCAGAGGGGGACAGACACATTTGGGGCCGAGTCATCTTCCGTTTTTGCCTGCTGGGTAGTCTATCACCCTTTCTGTGGTGACACATCTCAGCCTTTGGGGTCTCCCTGTCCTGCATTCCCAGCCCAGGGCTCCAGGACCAGGACCATATCTGTGCCAGCCAAACAGAGCACGGTACAGCCCTTTTACCTGTCCTGCATTCCCAGCCCAGGGCTCCAGGACCATATCTGTGCCGGCCAAACAGAGCACGGTACAGCCCTTTTTTGCACAGTGATTGGCTCACAGTCATGTGGCCTAGGCTAAGCCAATGAGATCTGGATTTTTACTGGCCTCAGTTTTTCCACCGGCTTGGGAAGGATAGACTGTGAGCCTGGAGCAGCAGAGGCCACCTGTGACCATGCAGGCGAATGTGCCCTAGTGAGAGTGAAGCTGACCCAGGAGAAAAGAGAGCAGAAGGTCGGAGGGAGAAAGACCATGTTTTAATGAGGTTATTTGAGTCCCTGGAGCCAGTGGTACTTGAGGCTTGGCAGTGACTCACATGAGCTGGTAAAATCTCTTTGCCTTAAGCCAGTCGTAGTTGGGTTTCTATTACTATAGTAGTAAAGCCCCACAGACACATGTGTAAATAGCCACAGCCTGAAGCATCTGGCCTTGGGAAGGCTGGGCCACGGAGGAGGGAAGGGTGGACTAGAATGTGCTGGGGGCAGGAACCCTAGCAGATGCTGTAGCGCCATCCCAGATGGCAGGGGTCCTGTGGATAGGACTATGGGGGAGTAGGTTTGGGCTTCTGCAAGCTCAAGAGCTCCCATAGGCACTGGAAAACAGCCCCCCTTGTTTAGATATTCCATCTGTTCTTTATTGGCTCTGGGCCTCAGACAAGTCAGAAACCTCCTGTGGGCTCCTTATCAGGAGAATGGGGACAATCACTGCCTCTGCAAGGGCTGATGCACAAAGGCATGTTGAGGCAGCGCCAGTACATTCAGAGGCCTCTGCTTTGCCCTGCCTCTCCTCACCTTGTCTAGCACTGGCTTGTCCAGCTGCTGCTGCTCGATGCACAAACGGCAGACCCGGGCCAGGAGCTCCTGGGGCTTGATGAAGAGGCGGGAGCTCAGCAGGGAGGTGAAGATGTAGGCTTTCTGGGGAACACAGGAGAAAGGTGATAAAAGCTCACCAGGGCATGGAGGGGACATGCCTCCCAACCACCTCCCACCAGGCCCAAGGCCAGCCCCAGCCCTGTTGTCTCCCCTATGCCTAGTGGAGAAAGCCCATTCTGCTGCCCCTCCCCCCCTCACTGGGTGAGCCACCTACCTCGGGGTAATAGTCGGCCGTGGGCACCAGGTGCTGGATCAGGGTGTCCAGGGAGGCTGAGGATGGAGCCCCATCCAGGAGGGGTTGCCCGGCCTGCTCGCCCTCCGTGGGCTCGGTGAGGGGTGGGCCGGGGCTGCCAGGTGTCACCATTTCGGAGGCACTCAGTGTCCGGGGCATGCCTGTCTGCAATGGTAAAGAGAAGTTGGGGCACATCTAAGCTGGGGCCTGCTGGCTCCCTGGGCTGCTGGCTGGGTGGGCCCTGCCTCCCATAGGCACCGCTGTGTCTACCTGGGCCCAGTGATAACTTCCGGGAGGGCTGCAAGGGACCCCCAGCCCACAGCACAGCATCCTCCAGGAACCAGCTCTCCTTCATTCTCACCCAAGCCATTTTGGGACTGCTCTTTGGAGAGTCCACTCTCACCTCCGCTGAAGGGTGTTTGTGACAAGGCCCAGACAATCAGCATATTTTCCCACCTCTGGCCACAAAGATTGGAGCAGGGACGAGCTTTATCCGAATTGGGGCCTCAACTGCAACCTCAGGACTTCTGCAGCACCTGGAAGCCCTTTCACTGGGGTCTCTGAGCTGGTGGAAAGGCACCGTTGGGACCATTTTGTCCCCACAAGGGGCCAGGAAAGCAGGCACATTTCTGAGGTTAGCATGTGAGGCCCTGGGTCCTACTGTGTTTGAAGCTGCTCTATAGGCTTCTCCATTGTGTGAACCTCTAAGTTAGGTCTCTCTCTGGTGTAGCCAAATGGCAGCCCCCCACAGTCTGGCACCCCAGGCTCTTTGTGGTTAGACTCTAACGACCTGTCCAGCTGTTCCTTCCTGCAGGAAGGCTCTCCCACAATCTTCACTCCTCTATCCGTCCGGACATGGCAGAGCCTTCCCTGCTTCCTGACCTTTAATGAGCATCATCAGATTCTGCTTGCCAGCACTGTTAAGTGCTGGGGGTGTTGCTATTGGTGCCCGGTGTGGCGAAAGGCCAACTGCAGCTGCCGCATGGGACCCTCTCCACCCAGACCTCCTCCAAGCGGGTCAGGGCACATCCTCTGTCCTGGCTCTGATTCAAGGGCATGGGCTGTAGCAGGCAACCTTCACAGGTGTGCAGTGGACCTGTGTGTCCTCTTTGGGCTCCAATGAATCCTTGCAGGCCAGTCTTCTTGAACTAAGCCTGCCACATATCCCTCACAGCCACATATCCCGGCCATCCTGTGGCTGTTTAACCATTCTCCATGCTGGACACTCAGATCGCTCCAACATTCTTAACCATGGAGTCCTGTGGGCTCACCAGGGGTTGGAGTCTCTCCACTGCTCAGCTCATCTCGCCCCTGTTGTCCGCATGGCAGACCCTGACCCAGGCCCGTTTCTGTCTTTCCCAGCCCCCTGGGTGACCTGGCCCTGAGAGGATACAGAGGACATGAAGAGTCAGAGTTGACTTTGGGGATCGGAGGGCCATTCGGAGTGTTCGGGGACTGGGTCGCAGCATGGGGAGGGTGTGGGAACCAGTATGAACAGCAGCCCGGACAGTGCAGCCTGGACAGTGCTGGCCCTGGGGACAGCCACAGCTTTATTTTCACCTCCCCAGCAATGCTGTAAGTGTTCAATTTTCAGCCGATGAAACTGTGAAGTTTCATAAAACCACCTCTTGTCCATCCCAGCGTGGAGGCCGCTGAGCACGTGGGCACGCAGGGGTGATGGTCAGCTCTGTGGTGGGTGAGGCTCTGACTCATGCCCAGGGCCCCATGTTTGAGCCTGATTCCATGAGCCCAGCAGGGTCCACTCTCTCTTGCCGGATACCTGGCACCTTCTTCCCATAGTGTTGGGCCTGCCCACAATCCCAGTCCCATTTTCTCAAAGACTGGCCAGTTGCTGCAGGAGACGTGATTCTGGAAACCTCTCTGCAGGGCAGAGTGCTCTGCCAGATGCATGGCAGGGGCCTTTCTGTGAAGGCCAGGATGCCACCACTTCAAGAGACAAGCACCTCTGGGCCTGGCCCGGAACTAGGGACCGGGTATGGGGTGCTGGGCACATGAGATGGGCTGGAGGCCAGAACCATCATGACCCTCAGGGATGCCCAGAGAGTGGACAGGCTGCCAGAGTGCCCCGCTGACCTTCAACCAGCCATTGTGTCCTCATCTGGGCCCAGGCCTGGGTCTCAATGGACTGGCTTGTCCCCTTGCTGCTGCAGCTTCTGGCTTCTTCCCACCACTGCTGAAGGATGTTCATTCACATGTGTGTGCAGGCGTGGAGCGACTGTTGGCCCCATTCTAGACACTGAGGATTGAGGAGGACTGAGCAGGACCTCCAGAGCTGGTGGTGGGAGGCAGACAGCAAGCACTGCTGAGAGACTGTCTCACTGAAGCAAGGTGGGCCCAGGCGAAGGGAGACGAGGCACAGTGCCTTGAAGAGAGAGGGTGGGTGAGATCAAAGTCTGGTGGCACCCCGCCAATCCTTCCACCTCTCCCAGTAAGTGTGCTGGAGAGGACAGGGCAGTGAGGGCCCACCCCTGGCCTCTGAAGGAGGATTGCCAAGGGCAAAAGCCGGTCTCCTCCCCCAAGAGGGTCTCCAGCTGCCTGAAACACAGCAAGGGGCCAGGGGCGGGGCAGGGGCAGTGGTCTGTGCTGAGACTGAGGGCAGGAAGTGGCCTACAGAGACTGGCCAGGCAGGGGGCCACCGTGTGCAAAGACCCAGCTGAGCTGGGGACAACATGGTGCGATTATGGTAGTATGCGCAGAAACACAGCATGTGAAGGTGGAGACCCCCACCTGCCCCCTATGCTCCTCCCATAAACAGCTGCTTTTATTAGTTCCTATCTATCTTTCCAGAGTGTCTTTATACAAGGACAAGGGAATAGAAATATATATTCCCCTTTTCTGTCTTTATTACACAAAAACAGAGCATATTGCATATACTCTCCTGTGCTCTCCTCACTAACATTGCATTTTGGAGATCTTTCCATGGCAGGACATTGCATCCTCGTTCTTTTTATTTTTTAACCACCTCAGAGTTCCATTGTTCAGATGTCCAGGGATAATTTTTAAAAGCCGATGATAAAGCAACTCAAGTGTCCATGATGGGTGAATGGATAAACAAAATGTGGTCTAGACTTACAATGGAATTGATGGGTGAATGGATAAACAAAATGTGGTCTAGACCTACAATGGAATAATATTCAGTCTTAAAAAAAGAAGGAAATTCTGACACCTTACAGCATGAATGAAGCCTGAGGACATTATACTAAGTGAAATACATCAATCACAAAAGGACAAATACTGTTTGGTTCCTCTTATCTGAAATTCCTGGAGTAAAGTTTATAGAGGCAGAAAGTAGAATGGTGATTCCCAGGGGTCTGGGATGAAGGATGGGGAGTCACTCTTTAGTGGGGGATAGAGTGTCAGTCTTGCAAGATGAAAGACTTCTAAAGATGGAGATGATGGTTACACAACAATGATGCCACTGAACTGTACACTTAAAGAAGGTGAAGACGGTAGATTTCATGTTACGTATATTTTACCACAATTTTAAAAAAGCCAGTGATGATGGGGAAATTTATTGTCACAGCTTCCCTTGAAAATCCGTGAACTCACCAGTTCCCCAATCTGTGCTTCCATGAACACTGCCTGCGTGGTGGATATGAGTAGGGGCTGGGAGCCTGAGGCCGGCATAGACGGGTTCTGAACTGAGGGACTCGCCACAGACGGGGTCACTGGGGGACAGGAAGGCTGCTCCACTTGTCCCTTCTAAACCACTATTTCGAGTTTCCTCTCTCTGTCTTTCTGGGGCCTGAGGCTCCGCGTGTGTACAGAACAGACATGGGCGTGGTGTGACTCTTACAGGTGTCTACTTTATACCATTAAATGAACAAGACCTAATAGAACAACCAATGCTGTTTGGCCCTTAAACACTTCTGGGCAGTGGTGGACATTGTCATGGTCCCTTTGAATTGTAAAAGATTTGGCTTGATGTGCCAAGACCCTTATGTTCTGTAATATCTTTTTACCTAATCAACTCTGGAAATTTATTCCAAGAAAATAATCTAAAGAAGAAAAGCTGTGGAAAGGAGTTTGCTTTGGTGTTAATTACAAGCAGTGAACTAAATCTCAGAGCACCACAGATAATGAACAAAAGGAGAACAGACAAGGACACTAGCATATACCCACCCGTTAGCAGAGTCTCTGTTGCTGTTGAAACGATGGTTATGAAAATTCAGTGATTGCATGGAAACAATTATGGCATAACCAAGTGAAAATGGCAGAAAAGACTGCACATGCGACAGCATACAAACATATTATTCAAGTGGCTGAAACTACAATGAAGCATTGAAAAATGTGTCATTGATATGTATGTCGCCCCTGCCCTGTTGTTATTGTTTCAGTGTTGTTCATTCAGGTGAAAATAAAGGTCAATCATCAAACGAAGCCTCGAGGATGAAAGGCCCAGGAACACCTGAACAAATCCCAGGGCCATGGTGGGTGGCAGGGTTGGGGACATGGCTACCTTGTGATGAAGTCACCGAGAGGACTCAAATCCCTTGTTGATGCTCAACGAGAGTGGCCAAGCCACAGTCTGAACTACAAAGTCCTCTTTCTGATCTGTCCAGGTGAGGCCCTCCTCACCCCAGGACGAACAACACACCACACCTTCACACACTCCAGACCTGCCTGCCTGGTGCCCCTCCTGACCCCTGAGGCCCCCAGGCCTCCCCATCTCCTGGGCCTCACACTATCCTCAGTCTCCCTACATTGCGTGCTCCCTAGGAAGAGCCTGGCTCACACCCTGCTGCATCCCCAGGGCCTAGCCATGTGTCTGGCACATACATATGGCTGCTCAGTTGAGACGTGTGGCATTCAAGTGACACGGTAATACAGGTGAGAAGCAGCAAAGCCTGAAATTGAATAATGCAAACGGATGGTGAGGAGCAGCTGACACCCCAGGCATTCGAGTGGCAGAGTCAGTGGGAGGGAGGAGCTGGGGAGAAGCTGGGGTCCAAGCCTGGGAAGATTGACAGCGCCACCCCTCCCTGCTTGACCCCCATCTCCTCCCTTAGCCCTTCCATCTTACAGATGAGGAAACAGGCTTGGAGTGCAAGGCAGATGTCCAGGTCACATGCTGACTACCTGGCAAAGCTCGAACTTGAGCACAGGTGTATCTGAGCCCCAGGCCCTGTTCTTGCCCA